TAACAACCTCGCACGGCACAAGAATATTGTAACTAGGAACTAGAGTCACTCCCCTCACACCTATTTTTCACTGACAGTTGATCACTGAGCTTCTTCTAATCTTCTCAGAAGCAAAAGCAAGATGTTGTTTTCTCGAAAGAAGTGTTGGAGAAATCTGAGGATCACCTACATTACGACTCATAAAAGCTCGCTAGTTTGAGCTGAGTAATAGATGAAAGGCTAAGGCTTAAACTATTAGTGGAGATTCGCTGACAGAATGCCTTATGTTAGAGCTTCTACTTTGGAAATAAACTCTACACGAAGCAAACTTACCACGTAGGAAAGCGATGGAAGTAAACACTTCCAGACCCTAAGCACCAGAAAGTGGTTAAGAATCGATAAGAGGCAAATTACTCGACTTATATATTATTCCTAAATGTGAGTGCCCGGAAATAAAAAACTGGAAACTTGAACGGATTTCATAAACATTGCTACTTTATCAGGAAACCTTGAGCCAGTAACTTCCACGTTCGGCGTTTCTGAAACAGAGGCATGTTACACGCCTTAACTGGGCTTTGCTGTACAGATTTGTTATGGAAGAACAGCTTTATTAGGTCGACGTTTCGAACAAATCATCGTCTCGAGAACCTGAAAGTAGTTTGGAGCCCCTGATCTGTGGCTTACCCGACCAAGCGCCCAAGCGCATTAGGCGAGAGGCGGTCGTTTGGCGCGACCCTTCCCATCGCGCCGGTTTGTGAGCTGGACAACTCATTCAGACGATTCATATCCCCGTCCATGCTAATCGGCCTACCCACTATCCACCCAGCTGATATACCCTCGATCGATGACGCCACTGCTACTAGACGACGAAATGCGGACCGTGTCCGTTTGCCCAACGGCAATCACGTCAATAGAGCGTAATCATTTCAACCCTCTGGAAATAAGCGCTGATTAACAGCTTTTGGATACCGTCAACATGAAGTCAACACCTCACGTATCCAGCCGACAAGAACAGCTAAGGCTACCCACCGTTATATCAAACCAAGAGATAGTGAACAATCCATTAACTGACGCTACGACTTCATTACCTAAACTAGTCTCTTTTCTTTTGCCGTTAACCCATTTGGATTTGATTCTTGACAGCAAGTCCGACACTCTCAGCGCACGGCTCCCTTGATAACATCCATGTCTTTGCGTTACCTGTATGGACTCTGAATCAAGGTTTCTCATGCTACTGACTCGCTTCATATGCCAGTCGGTCGAGTTCGAGTTCGTCTTCTCGTTGTTTATCGATTCGACGATCGTATTACATTAGTCCGCGTTGTTCGGCCCCTCAAGTTTTCACTTTAGATCAGCGGTGTACCTATAAGACCTTCGCCTATGATACCATGGATCGATCGGACATACCGACAGCATCGAAAACCCCTCGATCGAGTACCGCTTCAAGTCCACCGAAACACGTAAGGCAGCTTATTACATCGTCGTCAATTCCTTGTTCTTCGTCGTCGACAACTGCTGAAGACTTTGATTCCTTGTTGTCATCGGCCATTGCATATTTCGAAGGAATATCGCATATTGACTCGTTTAACCCAGTCGGATATCGTCAGATGGTCCATCTACAAGACGTGGATCCGTCCAATTCTGCTCTACCTCGTCGACCCCACCGCATTTCGACTCAGCAGGAGATCATTTTGGAGCTTCGACACGGGCAACTTCGACATTCGCTTCAGACGACGTTTACCAGGACCAAAGTCTCCCACCATCGGAACGAATGTTCCTATAGATCGCTCAATCGTTAACCATCGCAGCAAACTTTGACCACACCTTTGGCATCGATCTATTGACCACGAGAGATCGTCACGGTAGACGCCTTTCTTCGTCACGCTTTCTACAACACCGTTTGTGATTGGATTGTCGAGGAAACCGTTGCACCCAATCCAGCAGACCTTGACTACCCTTACGCAGAGCAATATCACATCTGTCTCATCGTACAGCTTTCAAGAGTCTCCACGCAGCTAACAAAAAATTGCAACAACTCTTGAATGAGCTGGCGAAACACATCGGTTATTGAAAAGTCAGCGCCGAAGCTCACGCAGATCACGTCGTCGTCCGTACAATTGCTGTCCATAGTTGGCGCATCACGTCTCGCGCCCGGAGTGTCGCGACTTACGTGCGACCTTCGACGTTCGGCAGTGCACCGCTAAGAAACCGTGCTCCAATCGACGGCCGTCGCCCGCTGAATCATTCAAATGGAGGAGAGTGCTGGAAGCGCGAGAGAATTATCGAGCAAGCTCCGCACTAATCAATTTGTCATCCTTTCGTCCGTAAGCCTTTCTCCTCGTCGCCTCGTCCCACGGAGCGCAGTCCCGGCAGCATTGGCTACTTTCATAGTCCACGATTTGGCCGCAAGCGAGCGATCGAGTGATTGGGGCGCGTTTGCCCCTTTTTACAACTGAATCTTGGTCGATACCGCGGGTAAGCGCCGCCCCAATTGCTCGATCGCTCGCGGGCCAAATCGTGGACTATGAAAGCAGCCATTATCGTCAGTGTAAACTCATCGTCATCAGCATGGTAGATCGCATGCACTACAGCGTACGTCTCATTCAAGTCCTCTGTTTTACAAACCATCGCTATTCTTACTCACTTATCTTATTTATTCCTCACACATTCGTCGTACTCAATTTGTCACACTTCGTATTGATCGTTATATGATTTTCTGAAGAGAACTCGTCCTTCCCTTCTATGCGTGATATCGCAAGGATATAACTGTCTTCAGATCTCCAACTCTTTGCCGTATTCATATTATTGGAAAGCAGTCTTGAAGGGGCTATGGCTTATTCCTCCAGCTCGTGGCAGGATCCAAAGTGCGACACCGTCTCCCACAGAGGGTGTGGACCCTTATAATACGCACATTCTGCCGTGGTCCCAGGCTTCCCCCGTCGATGCGTACGCCTTTGGAATCCGGAACGAAATCACGCCATTTGAGAGGCATCGGTACAGGGAGCGCCATAAAAATTGTAACAAAATAATTTGGCTGCAGAAACGGCAGTTCATATTGATACATAGTAAATTTATGTGAACTATGTATTTACTATGCATCGCAACTACCAAACGAAGGCACGGTCATCTTATAATATACCAGTTTGGCTATGCACGCTAACGCGTGCAGTATATGTCGACGCCCACTTATCCACGATGGAGTCATTCAGCGGAATGTTGGATAATCAGAACAAGATAGTTCTCACTAGATTCGAACGCTGAACTGCTGAGAGCATCACGCTCGATATATTTAAACAGAGTTATTAGTGGATGATCATAGCTCCGTCCACCTTGGTGCAAACACTTCACACAATAAACTTGACCACCTTCGTTTGACTGCTCCAAACCATTTTTTCCGCATTCCAGAAAGTTTTTGAAGAGATGAATTTTTGGTCCTAGCCCCGCTTTCATGTGTCAGCTCCGACCCCTTCGAGGACTTGACTCCATTTGTTCGAATTCCTCTTACCACTTTTTCCCGCGTTTTAGAACGTTTCTGAACAGAGTTATGAAATTTTAATATAAGCCCCGCCCACTTTGGTGCCAACCCCGCCCACTTCAAGAATTTGACCACATTTGTTCCATTACCTCTAACCACTTTTTTCCCGCATTCTATAACGTTAACGAACGAAGTTACACTCAGTTTTGAGAAGTAGCTTCCACCCCAACGCACGCCCCGCCCCTCGTGGGCGGGGCTTAGCTATACTTACGCACGCCCAGCACGCATAAGGCCTTGCTCACTCTTTGTATTTTTTCTTGGCCTCGACGCCTTCACTGAATCGAGTTCTGAAACTCTGGTGAGAGTACCGCCCACTGCGAGAACGCTCCGCCCACCGCCGGTAAGTTTCCTTTTTCTAAATTGTTGACACATATCCCACCTTTGCACAATTTTTCCCGGCGTCTGGACTGTTAGGAGACCGAGTGGGAAGAATTCGCTAACGACCCCGCCCAAATCCGGCGCATGCCCCGCCCCTTGGGGCGGAGCTCCGCTGGGCTCACATGTGCTCTGTTCCTATGCTCAACACATTGCAAACTTGATCCGACTTCTCCAGGTGCTTCTTCAGGTCATATCGAATTTCCGTGCAAACAAACAAACAAACAAACAAAAAAACAAACAGACAGACAAACAGACAAACAGACAGACAGACAGACAGAGCGCCTTATATATAGTAAGGATAACCGTCTCCTGTACTAATTATAGCTCGAAGACGCCTTCGGCTACTCATCAGTGGTGGCGAGCAGAGAATTTTTTCAGTGAGTTCTTAGGAGCAGCAACAGTGGTGCGTTTTGAAGCGCAGGCTTTCCTCTCCAGCATGGACTATATATAACCCATGACATTGTGGTCCGGGAAATTCGTAGGAAGATTGGAAGCTGGGGTAAAATCGCGAACACTTCCTCAGCACCAGTCTTTGATCTTTTCCCATTCGTTAACAAGTGCGCCATAGTTTTCAAATCGGATTTCTGAAAAAATCTCTGACCCTCAGACTCCGCTTTCTTCTTTTCCGAAAACCCCTTCTTAATGAGAATCGAAACAGACTTTGTAGTTTTCTCGACCAAAATTTCCGATATCGCTGTTATGGTAGATTCTAGTCCAAACTATCATAAAAAAGGAAAAATGGCTTCACGAGGCAATCCGACCCTTCTCAACCGCTTCAGCACTCATAGTGTGAAATAGTCGTACTCTTTGGGATCGCAACATTTCTTCCTCGCTGAACACCCTTTAGTCACAAAAAAGTGCGTTGAAGCGCGTTGAAGCGCGTGCCGCGCGCAAGCAGCGCACGGGATTTGTTTTTACTCTTCAGCTTCTTGTCGAAAAGCTTATAAGGCTTTCGAATCTTATTTGGATACAGATCAATTTATTCACTGCGGGTAGACTCTTCCCATCGGATTAGAACATGCAAACAAACCAGCAGTCATTTTCCTTGTGTTTCTGCAAGTTCCGCAGAGTACTCCTTCCCAAGCAATTGTATTCAGAAAAGGGGTCGTGTTTGAGACAGGACAACCGTGTTGAGGTTTGTTATTGACCTGCCTACGCAAAGCGATTCAAGAGACTGTCATGTGGGAAATGTTGAAACGAGGAACGAACCCGAAAAGGACGCACCAAATGCCCGCAAAGACGGAACGGTTGCTGGATGTCTGCGAGGCTCCACCAGTTCTCGAAATCTGAGAAATTGAGAGTACCAAAGTAGATCTGTGGACTAAGGTATATCATAAAAATAAGGGGTGGTGCAGATTTGGAGAAATCCTCCAAACAAGGAAATTATGGACGTCCGAAAAATGTTACCATATTTATGGCGCACCCTGTAGAAGATAAACACGGCATTGGTTTCGGTATCAAAAGCAAAATCCTGGCCTACGAGGATGAGATCAATGTCAGAAAAATATTGGAGGCGCTGCACGTCCGCGAGAGAATTTCTAAGCGAACAAGTGAAAGAGTGGAATAACGCAACAAGTGAACTTCTCCTTCCATCATTCCTTTTTGGCTTTGAGATGGTCGTGTGCTTTTTTTATTTAACGACCGCCAAGGTGTCTTACTGTTCCCTCGTTGATCACAAAACTCAGTGGACGCTAGCGCTGGTGGGCCTCAGAAGTTTGGTTTCTAAGCTGGGATCTTTTGGTGTTCGAGTTCTGAGAGTTGTTGCTGCTGACCTAACGCGTTTGTGCGCTTGGTCGTGTGAGCCAAAGATCAGGATCAGTTCTCTCAGACGATGAGTTGTTCAGAACGTCAACCTAATAAAGAGTTTCTATAATAAGAAATCCATGCGACAAAACAGAATGGAAAAACCTCGAGCCATGAATGAGCCCGTTTTTTACTGGGTTTCACGAGTACTGCACGCTAAGTATAAAACGGCTACAGTATTGCGGTTGAGGACAGACCGCTAGTTAGCAAATCTAGCAAGAACTAGTGACTAAAATGCCCAGGTTTACGGGTGGTGAGCCGTTAAGTAAACTAAATTGATATAACAACGTAAAACAGAATGAATTAACAGAGATCAACGAAAAATTATCGCGAAGTACACACCAGTCACAACAGGGACAACAAAAAAAAGTAACTAACGCTTGATCATATCGTTCATAAGATTGAAAGACTTAGGTTTCTTGCGAAGAACGAAGCACTTTTCCGTTTCAGGCGGCGGTCCAAAACTGGCCTGATGAACTCATGATATGCAAAGTTTACGAAAAGGAAAAGAACAAAGTTGGCGTGGTCAAGAGTTACCTTGTTAACTGAGTTGCTGACAATACTATGCCCTTCGGGTGTTAATTTCAATTCGCCATTTTCAAGGTGTCTTTGTACTAAAACAACACAAAGGTCATTAAGCAAACGAAGAGGAAAATTACGATACCATAACGTACAGCATTTTGTGAGATCTTCAAGTGTCTTTGCAAAATGGGAGTCTTTGTTAGTAAAAACAGGAATGATCACACCAGTTGATGGCACATCTCTGGAGGAATGATGTCGGCTCATCAGAAAGAAATTATTCACAACGAAAAAATCGTTCAAATTACGTTTCGAGACTTTCAGTACCTGTACATGTCCGCAATAGTTTCAACCCAATCGTCAGCATCCTTACTAGCTAAATCAAGTAAGGCGAGGAGAGCTGCATGCACCTAAAAATTGGAGAAGTTTGTGAAAAAGATAGGCTGGGTAAATGGAACGCGACAAATGTATGAAATCTCCTTACCATGCTTAGTTTTCGTGGATTCATGTGAGGAATGCATGAAATGATTTTGAGTTTTGTTTGGGCATCGATAGCCTAAAGCGATCTAGTAATTTAGTATAATATGAAGTTTATCAAAACAAATCATGTGACGTACTTGGAAACAGGTTTCCAATTCTTCTAGCATTTCTCTAGATAACATGGAAGCAGTCATGCGCCCCGACCACACACCTGCATCACTTAACTTCTTTTCTAGCCAATTGACCTAAAATGAAGTGAAAGTTCTTCATATGGTCGGTAGGGATGAAGAATCAATAAACTCACCAGATCCATGTCCTCTAACACCAGGGTTCGAAATGAGCTCGGTAAGAGGGCGATCGTGTTTATCCACTGGTTCTGCGGCTTGAATTATTTTCCCGCGCGCGCACATTTGAATGCACTTACCTTTGGGGCGCCCTTGCCTTGCTGTGGCCTATAACGTTGCTGGCTCTACTACTAGCACACCCCTTTCAACTGATTATTCCTCTGCTCAGCACCATTCTAATGAATCCAATACAACGCATTTTTCCCCATCCTGCTTCCCCTGCAGATAGACCTGTTGGCCACTGTTACTGCAAAGTATTATGCTGTTGGTAAAAAATCGTTGTACAGGTCCTTCCTTAAGGGCCCGTATGCATAACGCCCAGGGTAGGAAGGGGAGAGTCTCCCCAAGGAAGTGTATGTTTTCGCCGTGGGTCAGAAAAGTGACGCCGGAGCGCAGTATTTCACCCCTCCACGACAGTGTTAAATTGGTATCCGAGCTCGTATTTCTCGATTAGATGAACCGGAATTTGGAGAGTGTGTGTGGATTTTTGCCAAGGAAAAGCACTCTAACAAAGTGGAGGGTAATTTTACCCTGAAAACGCTCAAGGAAGTAGCAAAAGGTTAGTATGTTCTTCGAAATGCATTTTGAGGGTTGTGGAAAATTAGGAACTCACGTTCAGTTATCGCGCATCTAGTGCAAGGATACCTTAATAAAATACGAATATTCAAATGTTATAGTGCTGTTCCAGTACCTCGATTAATTGTGTAAAAAATAGATAAATGAAGAAAACAGTAAGAAAGTGAAGCGTTTTGAGAAAAATGCCACGAACAAATTCCAATTTTTATACAAAGTGTCAGATGAATAGACGGTAATGTGTTAAGAAGTTTGTAAAAATTCATCAAACACCGTTTGGCGGGAGAGTTGGGCTAGTTCAGTGTTTTTACAGAACCTTCCTTCAAGACCCACTTCAGCACTTGAGGAGAGGTAATTAGAACCGAACAAGCACCTATCCATTCCATAGTATTTAATCGATAAGCACCAGTTCCTTCACTTTCCAGCCTTTACACTTCTCCAAAATACTTTCCGGCTCAGGAACTTCATACCGCGAAATCCTGCACCTACACTACCTTCCTCAGCGCATCTACTTCCAGCACTGCAACCCTCATTCTATCATGCTTCATATCTCCTAATATTTATTCCTCGTCGCTATCACTGATATATATCTGGTCGATAGATTTCTCACCAAGTCGGCCGCATCGAAGCGTCTCAGTCCGTTGCAACGTCT